GGCAGTATCTCTATGGAAGTAGATTGCCCAATCTTTCCTAGGAGCAGCTGGTGGGTTTGAATCGCCAGCCTTCTGGTTAGTGGTCAAATACCTTAGGCACTACACCACCAGGCCTCCCTTTCTATGTGTAGGATCCTGTTTTCTGTGAATAAGGATAGTTTTACTTCTTCCTTCTCAATTTTGACGCCCTTTATTCTCCTTTCTTGTGTTCTGCTCTAGCCAGAACTTTCAGTACAGTATTGAAAGGAGTGGTGGTAAAGGGCGTCCTTGTCTCATTCCCATTGTCAAGGGGATGCTCTCAACCTTTATTGAGAGTGATGCTGGCGTAGTGCCTAAGGCACTTGACTGCTAACCAGAAGGCTGGCGGTTCAAAACCACCAGCCACTCCTCGGAAGGAAGATGGGGCAATCTACTTCCATGGTAATACCGCTTCAGAAACCCAAGGAGGGGTCGCTATAAGTCAGGTCCGACTTGACGGCACATAACAACAACAACCATGTTGGCTGTTGCTTTTGCATCTATGGCCTTAATTATGTTGAGGAATTTCCTTTCTATTCCTATTTTGCTGAGAGTTTTTTTTTTTTTTTTTTCAATCAGGAAAGGGTGTTGGATTTTATCTAATACCTTTTCTGCATCGATTGAGATGCTTTTCTTGTGATTGTTTACCTTTGTTTTATTTATGTGGTGGATTATGCTGATTGATTTTATAATGCTGAGCCACCCACCCTTGTATCCCTGGAATGAATCCCATTTGATCATGTATTATTTTTTTGATATGCTGTTGAATTCTGTTGGCTAGAATTTTGTTGAGGATTTTTGCATCTATGTTCATGAGGGATATTGGTCTGTAATTTTATTTTTTAGTGGTGTCTTTGCCTGGCTTTATATCAAGATTATGCTGGCTTTATAGAATGAATTAGGGCGTATTGCTTCCTTTTCTATGTTCTGCAATTGTCTTAGTAGAATTTAGGTCAACCCTTCCCTGAATGTTTGGTAGAATTGTCCAGTGAAGCTGTCTGGGCTGGGCTGGGGCTTTTTGTTGTTATTGGGAGGGTTGTTTTTTTTTTTTTTTTTTTTTAGTTACATCTTCAATTTCTTCTTTGGTTATGGGTCTGTTCAAATTTTCTACCTCTGTTTATGTTAGGTTAGGTAGGTAATGTGTTTCTAGAAATTTATCCATTTCTTCTAGGTTTTCAGTTTGTTGGAGTGTAAGTTTTCATGATGTTCTGTTATGATCTTTATCTCAGTTTGTTCTGCTATAATGTCACCCATCTCATTTCTTAGTTTGGTTATTTGCATCTTCTCATTTTTTTCCTTTGTCAGTTTCTCCAGTGGTTGGTTAATTTTGTTGATCCCTATCAACAGGCAACTTCTCCTCTTGTTGATTCTACTGTTTTTCTGTTTTCTACTGTGTTACCAGTTTCATTATCTCTACCTTATGTTTCACCACCATTGACTTAGACTCCTTGCCCCATAAACTACTCATCTATGCTTTAGAGTTACTGCTGTCAGTTTGATCTGAGATAGATAATGCTTTAAAAGAGCACAGTACTCAAGGCAAACATTCTTTACTAATTCAGCTAAACTGTTGTTTAGCTTGAAGATGTCTTCAAGGGATAGTTTTGGTTTAAGGTTCAAAAATTTTCTCAGGGCAAAAGATTCAGGGGTTGCTCCAGCCTTGCTGGGTCCAGTATGCCTGGATTCTGTAAGAAATTTTAAGTTCTCCACATTTTCTCCCCTTTTGATCAGGATTCATCTACTGATTACATTTAGTAATGGTAACCGGGCACCATCCAGTTCTTCTGGTCTCATGGCAAAGGAGGCAGTAGTTAATGGAGGCAGTTAGATCTATAGACCAGTTCTTTCTCTGAGTCCTGGGTCTCCTTCTTCCTTTGCTGTTCTGGGCAAATGGAGACCATTGTTGTATCTTGGATCCACTTGCAAGCTTTTAAGACCCCAGGCATACTCAACAAATCAGCTGGGGGTGAGGGTAGAACAGAAACTCTAAAAATAGAGTTAGACCAAATGGCTAATCAGGCCCATGAAGCCATGACCCGAAGCCTTCAAACCAAGAGTACTAATCCCATGAGGGGTTTGGTCGCACCTAAGTAGTTTCAGCAACTGCCTCCTCTTTTTTGTCATTGTTGGTGCCGTTGTCATAAAGTTATATATAACACATCTGCCATTTTGCCTTTTTTCTGGTGTCCAACTTAGCGATAAGTTACATTAATCAAGTTGTATAACCATTACCCTTAATCAATGCCAATTTTCCATTGCCATAGACATAAATACACTACTTCCTAGAAAATAATTCCCTTCTCCCTCCCCTCTCCCACCCCAGATAACCAGTAGTAACCATTGGACTCTATATATTTACTTGTTCTTACCATCTCATATGAATGAGGTCATACAATATTTGTCCTTTTGTGATTGGCTTATTTCACAGAGTCTTCATTTCTTAAAAAGAGGCCACTGAGGCCTCCGGAGCAGGGTTAGTCTGAGGAGCAACTGTGGAGAGGAAGCGACCCTGGCAGAGGAGGAGGTGTGCCCTGACTAGACTGCTTGGGAGTAGACAGCAGGGAGGAGGCTTCCCCGTTCTCTGGACGGTCCGACTGTGCATCCTAGGCTTCGCTGCACTCCCAGTCGAGGCTGGAGCTGGGGGAGGCTCAGTCCACAGGAAGAGTCCACAGCCGTGTCCAACCCCCTACTCTCTGCTGGGTGCTCCAAGGGCACTGGATTTTGTGTAAGGGAGCCTGTTGCCTCCTCACCACAGTCTGACAATCTGAGGAGATGCCAGCCCCATTTTAGAGATGGGGAAACTGAGGCTTAGCCAGAGTGGGGGGGTGACGTTGCTTGAGACATCTTGAGAGGGTTCTCTCTCTGCCCAGTTGGCTGTCCTCCCCACACCACTCACTAGAGGGCGCCGGGGCCACAGCAGAACCATCCTAGAGCCCCTCCCTCCGGGCACCCCCTCTGTCTCTGCACCCAGTGCCAGGATGACAGGGAATGGTGCGACCCCAGCACTCTGCGCTGCCACCAGGAGCACGCAGACCACAGGCCTGTGAGGAGGAGAGGAGAAAAAGCACTAGGGGCTGAGACCCTGGAGGGCCCTGGTACACTCCTCACTCTGCCTGGGCCTCCCAGTTATCCAGCAGCTCAGCCTGGCAGATTCCGCCTCCCTCAGTTCTAATGTCTCCCTCCCTTCTCCCCTGTGTGTACCTCTGTCTCTCTGTGTATCCCTCCTTCTTCCTTTTTTAACTACATTTTATTGAGATATAATTTATGTACAGTGAAATACACAAAAATCATGGTCTATGTACCCCTCTTTCTATTTCTGTATATTTCTATTTTTTTTCTGTCCTTCACTGTGGCTCTTTCTCTGTGTACTATTTCTCTATTCTGTCTCCATCTCTGTTTCCTTCTGTCTCTGCCTTGTCTCTGCTTTTATGTCTCTACTTTTTGTTTCTGTCTCTTTCCTTTTTCTTCTGTCTCTGTCTCTCTGTGTCTCTGCCTCCTTCTCTTTTGGTTTCTGTCTCAATCTCGTTCAGTTTCACATCCTGTCCCTCCCTAGTCACCACCACCCAGTACATGTGGGCTGAGGGTCTCAGTCCCTTCCCTCCCATCTCACCCCTGGCAGCTGCTCACAGCTTCCCAGCCCCGGCCTCTCCTGCCCGCCCTTCTTAGGCCTTGGTGGAGGGGGCCTGGGAGGAAGGGAGGGCAGGCCGGCAGGCCCACCCCTTTTTGCCTTTCCAGTCTGGGAGGCTGGGCCAGTAGGCCTTTTAACCAGCCCGGGCAGGCTGTGCCGGACGCCAGCCCTGGATGCAGTGCCTGGCCCCTGTGGTCCCGGCATCTGTCAGCCCGGCCGGCATGCAGCAGCAGCCCCTGCCCGGGCCCCTGGCCCCCGTGGCAGAGCCGACCAAGCCTCCCTACAGCTACATAGCATTGATCGCCATGGCCATCCAGAGCTCGCCGGGCCAGCGGGCCACACTCAGTGGCATCTACCGTTACATCATGAGCCGCTTCTCTTTCTACCGTCACAACCGGCCTGGCTGGCAGAATAGCATCCGCCACAACCTGTCGCTCAACGAGTGTTTCGTCAAGGTGCCCCGTGATGACCGCAAGCCAGGCAAGGGCAGCTACTGGACGCTGGACCCCGACTGCCACAACATGTTCGAGCACGGCAGCTTCCTGCGCAGACGCCGACGCTTCACCAGGCGGGCAGGTGCTGAGGGCACCAAGGGCCCCGCCAAGGCCCGCCGTGGACCCCGCCGCGACCCGGGAGCTCCCGAAGCCGCAACTGCCAGGCAGTGCTCATTCCCCCCCGAGCTGCCGGAGCCCAAGGGCCTGAGCTTTGGGGGTCTGCTGGGGGCCTTGCCAGCTAGCATGGGCCCAGCAACCACTGATGCCAGGCCTCGGCTGCCCTCAGAGTCCAAAGAGATGCCCACGGCCAAGCAGGCAGGCCCAGGGGAGCTCCCGGCGGCCACCTCACCCTCCTCGTGCCTTGCATTTGGCTTCCCCGCTGGCTTCTCTGAGCCTGAGGGTTTCGTTAAGGCCCCTACACCCATCTTGACCACCGAGGCCGGCGTCGGGGGCGGCTACCAGTGCCGGCTGCAGGCGTTGAATTTCTGCATGGGGGCTGATCCAGGCCTTGACCACCTCTTGGCCTCAACAGCCCCCTCCCCCGCGCCCCCCACCCCTCCAGGCTCACTCCGGGCCCCGCTGCCCCTGCCAGCTGACCCAAAGGAACCCTGGGTTACAGGCAGCTTCCCTGTCCAGGGAGGTCCCAGCTACCCATTGGGCCTGACCCCCTGCCTATACCGGACGCCAGGAATGTTCTTCTTCGAGTGAAGGGAGCCTGGCCTTGGGCAGTCGCTGGAGGGCCCCTGCAACCGCCACTCCACCCCCCACCCCAGGCTGCACCTGACTGTGGGACCAGAAGAGCTCTTGAAGGACCCAGCCCCATAAGCCAAGGACAGCCCCGCTGGGAAGCCAGGATCAAAGCCTCAAGTTCAGCCAGGCCCCAGGGCCTCAGGACAAACTTGGGGGTGAGGGGAACCAGGCGGGGCCCACTGAGGTTTTTACTCTGTGGCTCTCAGGGCCAATAAAGCCAGAGTGATGACGAGGGTCAGCCTGTTGGATGGTTGGGAGCCGGGGCCAGGACAAGTGGTGGTTTGTGGGGTGGCGGTGGGTGTGGGGTACGTGGCAGGGCAGGGGACCCCCAGATTGAAATGTCCCACACAAAGTCTTCTCCTGCTGGGAATTTTCTCAGGGAGTTTCCCAGGAAGGGAGAGGAGGGCTGTGGGGGAGGGGAGATGGAAGGCAACAGAGACACAGACAGGCACAGAGAGAGAGAGAGACTGAGACCGAAAGAGACCCGGCAGGGCTGAGGCTATGCTGGCCTGGGGGCTGATGCTCCAGCCGGAACACTGTGACTCAGCATGCCCGTTAGAAACCGTCCTAACTGTGCCCAATAGTGGCATTTATTCTTTCCTGGGCTTGTTAGCTATCACCTCACCGAATCCTGTGTGATGTGGAATGCCAGCCCCATTTTACAGTGGTGGAAACTGAGCCTCAGAGAGTTCGGGGCTCACCAGATGGCAAATGAGCGGCAGACAGGAATCCAAACCCAGGTCCATGTGGTTCCAGAAGCATGTGCTCAGACACCACGAGGGCTGCCTCTGCCCACCAGCCCCCAACCTGCAGTTTGAGTGAAGACGTGGGATTGCGAACTAGGATCCAAGCAGAGCTCAAAAGGCAACCCCCACCATTGCACAGGAGCCCTGGTGGCACAATGGTTAAGCACTCATGGCTGCTAACCAAAAGGTTGGTGGTTTGAACTCACCCAGCATCTCTGGTGATCCTGGATTTCCGAGGCAGCAAATCTTCACAGAAGTAGGTTACCCCATCTTCCTTTCTTGGGGCAGCAGGTGGGTTTGAACCCACCAACCTTCTGGTTAACAGGCAAATGCCTTCGGCCCTGTGCCACCAGAGCTCCTTTCCATAAAAAGTACAGCCTAGGAAAGCCTCTGTCAGGTCTGCTCTGTCACATGAATTCACTATGAGTTGGAATTGATTCCATGGCACCTGACAACCACCACCCCCGTTTGTACACACAGAGAACCTGAGGTTCCAAAGGAAGACACCTGGCTCCTCCTGGGTCCCCTGCACTAGTGGGGGAGCGGGGGTCTCCTCTGAACTCTCAGCTCTCTGAGGTCTCCTGGTGCCTCTTCAAGAAATGATTCCCTTCCTCCAAGCCTCAGTCATGCCATGTGGATGGTGGGTATAGGAAGAGAAGAGAGGGACTGAGGGTGCTGAGGGGACCTCCAGCCTGGCCTTTCGTGTAGACGTCTGAGAACCTGGAGGAACTTCTGTCCCATCAGGTGAAAAGGACTGTGGGCACCCAGGGGCTGGGACTCCTTCATACGGCAGCCTGGTACTCGAGAGAGGCCCTCCTCCTGTGGTCAGCGGCCACTGACTTCAGCCTCTGCCACTCCCTCCTCCCTCGGGATCCCCTGGGGCCCTGGAGGAAGCAAGCCGGCTGGACAGCCCAAACCCGTCTGGTTCCCACAGACTCCAGGGCCAGGGTGGAGGGGGACCTGCGGGTGGGGGCTCACTGTGGCCAAAAGGGTTGGGAAAATGCCTAGCCAGCTCGGGGGTGTGTGTGGGGGGAGCCTCCCCACCGTGTCTGTCCGACCCCACTCCGGAAACCCACCAAGCAGGGGAGAAGCAGTGAAGATGTGCCTCGTCTTGGCAGCTTCATGGGTCAGGGGAGGGGGCAGATGTGTGTTGGGCAAAGGGGCCTCCTGGGTGGGTTTCTGCTGGGGTGAGTTCTTGTGTGGGTCAGTGCGCCTAAGGCACACTTTGGGGTGTGTGTTTGTGTGTGTGTATGTGAATGACGGAGAGAGACAGACAGTTAGTTATAAAGCAGATTCAGTGGGCCAGGGGTTCCTTTCTTGGCCGGGTCAAGGTGACCTCAAGTCTGCAGACCTGACAGCCTCAGTCCCTCCCCAGCCTGTGCCCTGGGGACTGGCCGGGCAGGGGAGTTCGGGCCTCTGCAGTCATAGTCTCCAGGGTCCTGCCTAGCCCAAGCCCTGAGGAGGTTTGGCATCAAAACTGGGATGGAAGCCTTGGGGAGAAGGCTAAGTCCCCTGTCCCCCTATCCCCACCCTGGGGGAACACTCAAAAGGGCCAGCCACACCCACGTGCACAGGCTTGACTCTGCCCTTGAGCCCTCTCCCCTAACATAGTCAATAAATGAAGACAAGCCCTTCACTGCCCCCCAACTCCCCAGGCAGGATCCCCGGGCTCAGCACCTGCTTTGGACTTCCTGTGCGACCCTAGACCAGTGCGCACCCTCTCTGGGCCTTGGTTTCACTCAGTTACCTAGTGGGAGGGAATCTGGGCAGCTTGATTTTCTGGGTCTGGATCCCAGGGGAGAGAGTCTGACCCAGGGGACGGCGGAAGGAGGGCTGAGGCCCAGAGGTGCTGGGCTGGGAGGCCCAGACGCCATGATCTCATCCTGCCCTCTGCTCAAGCTGCCCAGCTCGGGGACCCCACCCACTGGGCCTCCTGCCCTTACATTTTTTCCATGACCGGCAGACACTCTCCCGCTCCTGCCCTGACCGCCCCCACCTTGGTGTGTGCACGGGGTGGGGTAGGTCTGGAGACTCAGAGTGCCTAAGCTGGGTCAACCCAGAGAGAGCAGCTTGGCACAGATGGACAGACCAAGACCAGAGAAGGCAAATGACGTGCCCAAGGCCACACAGCAAAGCAGAACTATCTTCTCAACCCACTCATCTACTCCCCCTGCTGCTGCAACGATACGTGGCTCTTCGGGGATGGGAGCGATCCAATCAGCCTGTGCCTCGCACCTGCAGGGGAAGGGTATCTGTTTCTAAGGGGGACCCCAGCTCCCTTTTCTCAGCAGGTCAGAGCAGCAGGAAGGAACTGAGTGTCTTGCAGAGTTCCTGTTATTAGATGCTACCAAGTCTGTCCCGACTCAACAATTCCCTAGAGTTTTCAAGGCTCTAACCTTTCAGAAGCAGGTTGCCAGCCCTTACTTCTGAGGTGCCTCTAGGCACCAACCTTTCAGTTAGCAGCGGAGCGCTCATCTGTGTGCGTCACTCACAGACTCCTGCAGACTCCTCACTCCTTGCAGAGTTAGGCTAAATCAAATCTCAAAATAGCAGAATGGGTGACCTTTCAGAATATTCCAGAAGATTTTAATCACAGCAGCTAAGATTCTTGAAATAGCAGAGTTGAAAGGGTGTCTCTTGAGTTCTGAACCCCCTCTACGACCTCAAGTGGGTGTCAGTCTTGGCTTGCACACACCCACTCAGGAAAGGGGTGCCCGTGCCCTCAGAGGTAGCCCCTTCTCACCGCCCACCATTTGGCAGCTCTGAAGGCATGTCAGGGCATTTTTCACCTGCTGATCCTCTGTCTGCTTTCCCCAGTGGTAAGGAGTGGGAGGTGTTGGCAAGGCCTTCCTGCCTCCACCATCCACCCCTATGCCCAAGGCTGGGCCTTCCTCTGCCTGGCCCTTCCACCCCCACATCTTATCTGCCTGCTCGCTCTCTCACTCACTCGCCCATCCTCTTCCTTCCCTGGCTCATGGCATTCCACAGCCCAGAGTTCAACACTACTTCCCACACCCCAGACACTGCTTCAGCCAGGAGTAAGGAAACCCTCACCCAAGGAGGGTGGGCACTCCAAGGCTGCCACAGGGATGAGGAAGAAGGGGGAGGTTGTGTCAGCCAGCCTGGCATGTCCGCCCGCTGGGAGTGTACGGAACCCAGGAATCCAGGTCTCTGCCCAAACCTCCACTCCTCACACAGGCGCTTGTCACACCATAGGCCAGGATGTCAGAGGACATGCGTGCAGTGGTTACGAATTGAGTCAATTGAGTTGAGTCAATTCTGAATCATGATGACCCCATGTGCTTCAGAATAGAACTGTGCTCCACACAGTTTTCTTGGCTGTAATCCTACAGGAGATTACCAAGCCTTTCTTCCGCAGCAGCACTGGGTGGATTTGAACCACCAACCTTGTAGCTGAGAGCAAACCATCTGTGCCTCCGAAGGACCTAGCAAGATCTTGATAAAAGCTTGCTGCATGGATGAATGGAGTCGTGGTCACCTATCCATTCACTCATTCATTGACTGAATCTCAGAGAACACCCCAGGGTTCCTTTTCTCATTTAAAGCCCTAGTCCTTGCCATGGCCTGCAAGGGCCTGTGGGGTGACACTCCTGTTACCCTCCATTCCAGCTTCAAAGCCTTTGCACTTGCTGTTCCTTCTGCCTGGAACAGTCAATCTTCCACTAACACCACAGGGCTCACGTCCTTCAGTCTTGTTCCAACCACCACATCCCCCAGCCCCCATATATAACACATTCGCAATTCACTCATTGCCCTCCAGGGTCTAGAATGAAGCTCCATGAGGACAGGAGTTGTCCTCTCTGTTCACTGCTTGTCCCTGTCTGGAATAGTGTCTGGGACATAGTAGGGACTCAGGAAAATGACAGAACAAACATAAGCTCAGCAGTGTGTCCCAGGCACTTTCCTTGGGGAACATCACCCCATGTCATTTTCACCTCGGGCCTGGGAAGCAGGTACTATTATTACTCATTTAACAGGCAAGAAACTGAGGCCCAGAGAGGGTAAATAAGTAGATTTGAACTCTGTTCGATCTGGCCTAGAACCCAGCCTTTAGACATGTGAAGTCCATCTTCCCCCTCCCATTCCCACAGCTCTTAGAACACATCGCCATGAACTTGACTCCAACTCATGGCGCTCTGTGTGTGTCAGGGTAGAACTGTGTTCCATATGGATTCCAGTGGCTGATTTGTCCAAAGCAGAGAACCACAGCTTTCTTCTGAAGAACTTCTTGGTGGACTTGAACTGCCAACCTTTTGGTCAGCAGCTGAGCGTGTTAACTGTTGACACCACACAGGGACCCCCACAGCTCTTACAACCCCTCACGCAGACAAGATCTGGCCTCCTCACCTCCAATATCTCTCCCTCCCCGTTCACTGACCTCCCTGGCTGCAGGACATGTTCCTACGTCCATCCTTAGTTCCAATCCCTTCCATGACTCCCTGCTGCCCTGAGTCAGCCTGGTATTTGAATCCCCTGCTAAACCTCTCCAGACTTATTTCTTGCTTCGCATTATGCAAAAGCCCTCCTGCAATACTCCATGACAGCTTGTTCTCAGCTCCGGACTTTGGACATGCAATTCCCTCTGCCTGGAACACTTTCCTCATTCTTTAGCTGGAAAGCCCCTACTCCTTATTTGGTTTGAGCTTGGTGTTGCTCCCTCTGCAGAGAAGAGAGGAGGGTTTAATGTCTCCTTGGTATCCTAGTGGTTTCTCGGGCCACCAATCAGTTATACCTTGATCCCCACCCTCCCCCTGTGATCTCCCTGAGGGCAGGGACCATGACTAATTCATCTCTGGGCTGTAGCTTGGGGCCAGGCCCAGATGAGGGTTCAGCAAAGTGTTGCAAAGTGATCCGCCTGTATCAGAAGACTGCCTGCTTTGCATACCCACCTCACTGCTTATTGGCTGGTAGACCAGGGGCTGGCCCCAAAAACTCCCGGTGCCCGAGTTTCCTCATCTGTGAAATGTAGATAATGAAAATATCCATTCTAGGGTGGAGTGAAGTGAGTTAATACGTGGGAAGCACTTGGTACAGTGCCTGGCACATGGCTCGTTCAAGTGAAGGAAGGAGGGAAGAAGAGATGGACGGATGGAAGCTTGGTTCAGGTGGACACATCCTTCAGGATGGGTCCTGGCTGCTTTGCATCCACGGGGCGGCCCTGTCACTGACTGAATCTTTTCCCATCACTGCCCTGTTGGGTCCAAGGTGGCGGGTGGAATTCGAGGCCACTGGACCCAGACAGGAAAAGGCAGCGTCACCAGCCCTAGTGTAATCCAAACCAGATGCGGCCTCAGTGGCTTCCAGGCCCATGGGGGTGGTCACTGTGGGCCTGGCCAAGGCCCAAAGTCAGGAAATGGTCTTGGAGGAAGCTCTCTGGGCTGCGACCAGCCGGGAGGAGCTGTCCCATGAAGGGTGTTAACTCTTCTTAGCCCATAAGGGGCGCTCGGGATGCTGTGCAGGGGAAGTTGAGGCCCTGGTCCCAATGGAGCACTGACCACCCTGCGGGGGAAGATGACAGTGTTGTGATGGGCTTTGTGCTGCGGCAGGTAGGGGAACCCAGACAAGGGTCAGGGGAAGCTCAGAGACCTGCATCCCTGACACTCCTGGCACCCTGAGAACTTACAGAACCCGGACCCAGAGCCTTGGTCCCAGCCCTTGCTTGAGACTAGCTCTGGCTTGGCAGCCCCAAAACAGTTGTGGCCTCACTGCCTCCAACATGGTGGCCCCTAGGGTGAAAAGTCTTTCTCCCCCGAGTTGCCAAGGATAGGAGCTCTAGTGAGATCTGTAGGTCTGGGGCTCAGGCCTGCAGACAGACAGAGACCCAGCTCTATCCAAGGGGTTACGGCCTCAGCTTGTCCTGTGTGGCTCTGTGGGCCTCAGGCCCCCGGGGAGCAAAATCTCTCTGAACTCTATTTCTCCTTCTGTGTTGTTGAATCTCTATTTCCTGCCCAAAGGAGACATCAGAGGAATCACAAAAAGCTTCCACGCTGTGCCCTGGAGAGGAAGGGGCCCAGGCAGTGATCAGCCTGATGCCATGGCTCTGGAGGGCTTGCTGCCCAGCACTCATTCATTTGCTGTGCAGCCCCAGGCAAGTCACTTTCCCTCTCTGAACCTCTTCACCTGTAAACTGTAGCAAATGAGCAGCATTATCCCATCCTGGGAGAAACAGAGCTAAGGTGTTGTCCTCATATCACAGAGGAGGAAACTAAGGCTTGCGTTGGGAAGCAGGAGTCCTGGGTGCCAGTTGTGGCTGCCTCTGCGGGAAGGCCTTCCCGTTTTGGCCTCGGTTTCCCCAGCTGGATCCAGGCACTGGGTCTCGGCTCTGGCTGGACCTCATTCCCACCCCTCCCCCCATGGTGGTGACTCATCCCTCATCATCAAGCTGTGTGGCCAGGATCTGCCTGGGTGGGGGCCAGCGAGGCCGAGAGAACCACTCGGAGGAAACCACAGGCCTGGCCCAGCTGGCAGGTGGCAGGCGGGCGGGTGCTCAGGGATCTGGCCCTGGGGCCCTGCCCATGAGCACACATCCCACCTAGATCCCAAGCCAGGCTCTCCAGGCACTCCAGTCCTGGGCTGCAAGGGCCAGACTCAGGCCCGGCAGTACTCCGCCCACCTCGCCCCACGTGGTACCTGGCTGAAGTGCCTGAGACCTGCACCACCTGCTGGAACAGAGCCAGGGTGGGGGTGAGGACCTCATTCTCCGGGCCATTGCTCGCGAGGCTGGGGAAGGGCTGGTGAATGAACGCTTCAGGTCTTGGTTCGTGGCAAGTCTAAAGTCTCTTTCAGGAGGCAGCCAGTGTATCATCGGTTACGAGCGCGGGCTTTGGGCCCAGACCATCTGGGCACAAGTCCTGGCTCTGCCACCGACTGCTATGTGGCCCTGAGCAAGTGCTCACCCTCCCTCCCTCCCTGAGGCTTGGCTTCCTTGCCCATCTAAGAAGTGGGAATAACCCCACGTGCAGGGTCACTGTGAGAAGCGGTGTGATCATGCATGCACAGTGCTGGGCCCAGGACCCATACACCGCAGGTACTCAGTGCTTGTTAACTGCTATCACTGCTGTCCTGTGGGAGTCTGTGTGTCCCCTACCATGCTGAGAAGCTGCCCCACTCAGGCCATTTCTACTCTTGACCCAGTTCTCATAGCCACAGGCTACACCCTGTAAGGATTAAGCTGTGCTGCTCTCTGGGATGCCCCCTCCAGCAGGTGGAGCACCCCTGCATTGCAGGGCTGGGATGAGAGGGCTGCGGCCAACAGGAAAGGGCAGAGAAGAGCCCTCTCCCCAAGGCCTCTGGTAGACCTCATCACCACCTCCACCTGAGGACCCTACTTTCCGCTGCTTCTTGTTCTGTGGAAGAGTTGACTTCAAGTCCCAGCCCCTGTCTTGCCTTCAGTCCCTTTCCTCTCTGAGCTGTTTCCTCATCCCTCAAATGAGGACAGCACCTGCCCCCTTGAGCTCACTGACTGCTTCCCACTGCCAGCATAGTACCCAGGGCCGCCCTGTTCTGACTTGCAGCCATCCCCCCTCCTGCGCTGCAGGGCCTCTCACTGCCTCTCCATCTTCTCCTCAGTTTCCCCCTCTGTAAAACAGGAATCATAACAGCACTACCTCACCATATTGTCGAGAGGATTGAGTTAATGTACGTAAAAGCACTTCACCAGAACATGACACACAGTCATCACCCAATAAGCGTTGGCTGTTGTGAGCTCCCCGTCACAGATGAGGAAACTGAGGCACAAAAGCAGTGATCCACTTGCTGAGTTCACGTGCTGGCTCTCCCGCTTGAGCCTGAGACGGTAGAACCACCGAGCCTACTTCGCGGAAGTACATACTAAAGCGTCAGGCACGCGGTGGTGCTCAGTGACCCAGGGGCCGTCTGTAACTTCACACACGTGCGTGAGCCCACTCACAGAGGCAAGGCGGCCGCGTGCAACCTGTACATTTATTTACAAGGCAAAAGCTGAGAGCAGATTGAGGGATGCCCGCCCTGCCCCTCCCCCTGGGCCTGCTGGCGGCAGCCAAGGGCCCTCTCCCTGCCTGGGTGACCCGAAGGAGCAGGCCTCTGAGTGGCTGGGGTGAGTCCGGCTAGACCCCTCAGGCAGGCTCGGGGGTGGTCTCGTGTGTCCCCCAGGCTTCTCCCCTCCCCCTCCCCCCAGGCCTGGGCTCTCTCACACAGAGTTCCTTCCTGTGTGTTGGTGGTCACAAAGAAGGTGGGCGGGGGCGAGCCCAGCCAGATGGTGTGCGTTAGGCCTTATCTGTTGGGAGTGGGGAGGCGGGTGGGGGCATGGAGATCCTCCTTCACAAAGCCTGCTCTGTCTCCCCGGCAGCTGGGCCTCAGGCATCAGCATTGCTGCCTTCCTGCCCCGCCAGGAACCTCCCATCCACAACCACAGAAGCACCACCCCCCTGGCACCCCCAGCGCTCCCACCCCAGCTAGGAGCAAGCCCAGGCCGGGACGCCCCAGGAAGGGCAAAGCAGGGGTCACCCGGACAGCAGTTCATACATGGAAGTTGGGGGGGGGGACGACAGGGAGTGGCTTCGAGGGGACAGTGGCGTCTGGGCCGCGGCTGATGGGCCTGAGCGCTGTCTGGGAAGGAGGTAGCAGGACAGATCCAGGCCACACTCCGAGGCAGCTCACATCGGGGAAGCGGTCGCTGTGCGGGGGCGTGGGGAGCCCCGAGCCTCCCAGCCTGGCGCAGCCTTGTCCTGGCCAGCCTGCACTGGAGGTCGGGCCTGCCTGCTCTGGCCGTGCGGGCTGTGGTGTCTTCTGCCCCGGCCACGGCGAGGCTGCGTGCAGGCCTCGGCCGCTCCCAGGCTCAGACCCCCAGAGCCATCAGTGCTCCTGAGCTGCTAATCTTCTTGAAGCGGTTGGCAGCGCTGACGGCAATGAAGTTTTTCTGGGGAGTGGAGAAACGGAGAGCGGGCCCAGTCAGCAGCAGGGGAGAAGCTGTGGGGGAGCTGGGCGCCTTTCTTAACTAGTTGCCATGGACTTTGACTCATGATGACTCCCTGTGTCAGAGTGGAACTGTGCTCCATAGAATTTTCACTGACTGATTGCTCAGAAATAGATTACCAGGCCTTTCTTCCAAGGGACTTCTCGGTGGACTTGAACCTCCGAATTTTGGTTACCACCCAAGTGTGTTAACCATTTGCACCACCCGGAGACTGGGTCTTTCTCCAGGTCCCCTTCATTCCAGGAGGGTTAGGGACCAGGGAGGGTGCAGTGCTCAGAATGGCCACACGATGCTGCATAACCAATGGCTTCTTCATTCATTCAACATACACGGAAGCCGGCTCTGACGTGTGTATTGCTCTGCTCAAAACCTCCAAGAGCTCTGATTTCACTCCAAGTGAAAGGTGAACGCCTCACTGTGGCCCTCAAGGCCCTCTACACCCCGGCTCCCTGTTGCTCTCTGACCTTGCCCGGCCCACTGCCCTTGCTCCAGCCACTCCAGTCGTACTGGCCCCTCTGTGAAACAGAGTCCTGTTCCTCAAACTGGCTGACCATGCACAGGGTCTCAGCACAGGCTGTTCCCTCCACCTAGAACTCTTTGTCCCCGAGGCCAGATGCCCCTACCTCCATGTTCCTTCTCAGTGAGCGCTCTTTGGTTGCTCAGCTTCAAAGCACAGCCTCTCTCCTGGCGCTGCTGATCTCCCCACCACCACCACCTTTAGTTTTTTTCTAGAGGCCTTAAGGGGCTCTGGTAGCATAGTGCCTAAGGCATTTGACCGTTAACCAGAAGGTTGGTGGTTCAAACCCACCAGCCACACTCCGTGGAAGGAACACAGGGCAATCTATTTCCATAAAGATTTATCACCTCAGAAACCCAATATGAGTCACTATGAGTCAGAATCAACTCCATGACAGTGGGTTTGGTTTTTGGTTTAACCCTTTCTAATGATGACCTGGTACTATAGTGCCTAAGGCACTTGACTGCTAACCAGAAGGCTGGAGATTCAAACCCACCAGCCACTCCTCAGAAGGAAGATCGGGCAATCTACTTCTGTAGTGATACCGCCTCAGAAACCCAAGGAAGGATCGCTGTGAGTGAGTCAGATTCGACTCAACGGCAGTGAGTTTGGTTTGGTTTTTTGGAATGACTCCCTACCGCACCCTGGAAGGAATCTACACAACTGATAACCTCGATTCTTTTGTTGTATCACCAGTAACAGATGCTCAAGAGTTTTTTTCAGAAAGAAAAAAGGACCTTTTCCTGAGCCCGAGCCCAGATGCACCAGCCCCCGGAGCCCCTGGCCTAGTTCTAGGGCAGGTTTGTGGGGTTGATGGAAGGTCACTGCTTCAGGGCAGGAGCCAGGCCAGGACAAAGAGAGAAACCTGCCATCTTCCCAGGCAGGGCCGGGCCTGGCCACCAGAACCTGCCATGGCTGAGCTGGTGGGCCTGGGAGCAGGCATCAGCACCTCTTCCCTCCTCCTCCTCCCGGGCTCCCCTGGGCCAGCTGTACCTTCCAGCGCCTCTTCATGAGGTATTTCTTAAGCAAGATCTGGGACTTGAGGCGTCGGTTACAGCGCTTTGCTTTCTCTGCCAGGTTGTTGAGCCAGGGGTGGTCAAGACACTGGGCAGCGCTCATCCGGGCCCTGTGGGGAGGGGAGAGCGTGGTGACGGTGGGAAGCCCAGCCAGTCTCCCAGCCAGTTCCCATCCTCTCAGCCCACATGCACACACACACACACACACACACACGGGTTCACTTCCGGGGCCAGCCTCACCTCTGGTCCTTGACAATGAGGTTGGACACAAAGTCTTTGGCCTCCTCCGACACGGCCTCGAAGGTCTCCTCATCAAAGTACCAGTTGCCAGACAGAACATTGTTCAGGGTCTCTGTGTCATCATCTCCCAGGAAAGGGGAGAGGCCGCTCAGCCTGGAGGAGGGGTGGCAGGGGAGCAAGGAGGTAAGATTGGAGATACTGAGTCACCTTTGGGGTTCAGGGGATAGGGACAGATCCTAGGAAGTAGCACCATGTGCTGAAAAGACCCCCGAGTCTCTTGAGTGGGACAGACCTGGGTTTGAATCTGGCTGGGTGACCATGGGCAAGTCACTTCCCCTCTCTGAGCCTCACTCTTCTCATCTGTAAAATGGGCATAATCACCCCAGCTTCCCAAGGTTACAGTGAAGATGAGAAACAATGAGTGTGAGGCACGTGGTGAGTGCACAGAAGATGCAAGCTACCCCTCTGCCCGGTCCTGGGGTCACCAGAGATCTGCTGTCCAGAGCCCTGGACTGGAACACTTACGTTTCTGAAGATTTTTTTTTTTTTTTTTAATTGTGATTTGGGTGAAAATTTACAGAGCAAATTCACTTTCCATACAGCAGTTCACATCCACTTTGTCTCATGACATTGACCATAACTCAATACAATGTAACAGCTCCCCTCCCACTTCCTCGTGACAGTCACCTTGTTTCTGAAGAATTTTAGGGGCCTTGGTTTATCCATTTATAAAATGGGTACAAAATACCCTTTCCCTGGCTCTCCCTAGCACTTCCCTCACCAAAAAAAAAAAATCCAGACTGAGGTGGGACCCCTTCACCAAGACTTTAAGATCAATCTTGGCCATTGGCTGCCTGCCCACATGCCCCCACCCCATAAATACCACCCTCCCATGGGGCTCACAGCATGTAGGTGATGACCCCCATACTCCACATGTCTGTCTTATCGGAGATTTGGTCGTAATTCACCACCTCAGGTGACAAGAACTCTGGGGTGCCAAAATTCACCTTCAGCTTCTCGTTGGGCTTGTACCTGGAGAGAGACCAAGCACTCAGAACACGGCTCTTGGCACCCTCCCCCACCAACCCCTCCCCCACCCCCACCGCTGACCTCAGATGACTGCCCTGTCCTCACCACCCACCCAGGTGGTACCTCCGTGCCAGACCGAAGTCGATGATCTTCACCAGGTGGCCGGTGGTGTTGACACACAGGATGTTCTCTGGCTGAGAAGGAAGAAGGGCCTGGATCAGCCTCTGACCCAGCTCAACCTCCACCCCACCCCCAGCAGGCCCAGCAGGGCCTAGTCTGCCAGAGTGGATAGACCCTCAGACATCATCTGCACCTGCCCAGGAGAGGGTCTTGGGACCCAGAGAGGGCTGTAGCATGACACTTCTTGGCTGGCCCACATGGGATGTGCCTTCATTGAAAAGCACCAAAGAGCAAAGATGTTCGAGCTCTAGGCATTCTCTAGGGTAAGGTGCCAGCAAGCCCAGAGCTCCCAGAAGGCCTTTGGGGGTGGAAGGCCACACTCAGTCCCTGTACTCCCTAAGGTGGGCAGTTCCTGTCACCCCAATGAGTAATGGCGTCGACGGCTACCTATAACACAGCAGGCTCTGGGCTGGCCCCTCACTTTCCTCCCCACACCCCTGTACTGTTAGAGCAGGCACTGTTACCGCCCATCCCCCTCTTACAGCTGAGAGAGCTCAGCCTCAGACACAGTCACCCAGCAGAGACCTGTCTATTGTGTTCAACACTGGGTCTCCAGCACCTAGACCATGCCGGGCAAAGAGTAAAATCCAATTGCCTTCAAGTCAATTCCAGCTCATGGAGAAGCATGTGAGCCAGAGCAGAACTGTGCTCAGAGGCTTCGGTGGCTGGTTTTGTAGATCACCAGGCTTTTCTTCCAAGGTGCCTTTGGGTGAACTTGAACCTCCAACCTTTCAGGCAGCAGCTAGGCTCATTGACTGTTTGCACTACCCAGAGAGTCCCTGGCAGATAGTAGGCCCCAAATAAATATTTGTTGATTATTGAATCAGTGAACAAACATTCATTAGTACCAGCACTGTGATGACACACAGTGAGACACTGAGCTTGGGGCTCATGGGACCGTGAAAGACCCTTTCAGCAAGTACTCAGTACTAGACCAGAAGTTCAGGAGAGCTGGGACCATGTCTTCTTCCACTCTCCAGTGTATCCCTGGCTCTAGTCCTTAGTAAGTGCTCAAGAAAATGCTTCTGGAGAACTTAATTGGCCCAAGAAAATGCATAAAAGCATTGCTCCACATCCTACATTGGTGAGTAGCAACTGGGGTCTTAAAAGCTTTCAAGCAGCCATCTAAGATGGCTTTCAAGCACCTAACAGCCTCCTAGCATCAGAAGTGAAGAAGAATGCAAAAAAAAAAAAAAAGAAAGAAAAACCAAGGACATTTAGAAGCAATCAGCCCTAGGACATTATGGCCCTCAAGACCAGAAGAACTGGATGGTGCCCGGCTGCCAATGCCAACCACTCAGGAAAGGATCAAATCTGGAGATCCTGGATAGAGTGGGAGGGAAAACGTGGAACAAAATCCAAAAACTCAATAATGACCAGAATTACTGGTCAGATGAAATCTGGTGAGACCCCCAATACTATGGCCCTGGGATACATTCTGCGCCTGGAATAAAACTCCCCCCCAGGGGCGGGCTCTCAGCCCAATAGTTAACAAGATGTACACGCAGACCACTCAACCCAGGATGACGCACCCACATACTCTATGGTAATACATCCCTTAGAGCAATAGACCACAGGACACCAGAGGACCAATATTCAAACTGAGGAAATGCAGGACAAACAGGAGTGCATAAATATGAGGGGCCCAGGGTTGCAGGGTAGGGAGGGGAAGAGACTGGGTTAGGGTTGGACGTGGCGAATGGGGAATGAAACTAAATGTACGCATTATGTTGAATGTAAAACAAGCTCTTAAAATAAAAAAGAAAGAAATGCTTCTGGATCTGTGGGTAGAAGGATGGGTAGAGTGAAAGCAGGAGAGATGGGAGCATGGGGGGCTGGATGCTACAAGCCCGACTGCAGGTGGCCGGATGCTATTTCTGAGCCTCCTGGGGAGGTCTGGCACCCATACCTTGAGATCCAGGTGCAGAACTCTCATCTTGTGCATGAAGAGGATCCCGTCGCAGATCTGCCTGACAAACACCATGGTGTCCACCTCGGTCAGATGATAATCCTCGTCCACAATCCTCTCGAAGAGCTCGCCGCCCTCAATGCTGTGTGCACAGACCCCTCTACAGCTGCTCCCGGGCCTGCAGACCCCCGCCCGGGCCTCCCCCACCACCACACTCACTACTCCATGAACAGGACGATCTCACGTGAGGTCTCGATGGCCGCATAGAGCTGGATCAGGTTGCGGTGGTTCAGCTGGTTCATGACTTCAATCTCAAGCATCACCATCTCCTGGGGACCGCAAGCCAAGGCTCCCATCATCCCCTGCCCTTAACCTTGACCAGACACGTCGGGCTTTGCCTGCACCACTGCCAGCCTCCTCCATGCCACTCACTTGGCTCCCATCTCTCCCCACCTTCACAGCTGTTGTCCTCCCGACCCCCAAGATCCTCTCCTTCTCTAAGTTCAGTCTCTCTCTTCCTCCTGGGGCCTCTGGACAAGGATATATACTCCCCTCTGTAAGGGGGCCTCTAGGCATGTACCATTCTCTTCTCAGCTCCACCTGCCCATCATCCCCACTGGGACACCTTGCCCTTGCTGGTTCTCCTCCTCCTCCTCCAAGGCTGCTATCTTCCCACCTCATCTCTTCTCCCTCTGCACCTGCTCCCTGGGTGTTTTGGTCCTAGTCTCACGACTTCACATTCCATCCAAATATCACTGATCCCCAAACTTCTATCTCCATCTCTGAGCTCTGCCTAAAGCTCCAGACTCCAATATATCCAACTGCCTCCTTACCATTTCCCTTGGATGTCTAATAGGCATCTAAATCTATTGCATCCAAAATTAAACCCTTGATACCACCTTCTCCCCACAGTCGAATCACCACTCTCCACCCAGAAGTCCCTGGGTGGGGCACTGGGCTGTTAACCAAAGGTTGGAGGTTCAAGTCTCCCCAGAGGCACCTTGGAAGAAAGCTCTGGTGACCTACTTCCCCAAAATCAGCATCGAAACCCTTATGGAGCACAGTCTACTGTGACACAGACTGGGTCACCATGAGTCAGAATCAATTCAGTGGCAATGGTTTGTTTTGGGTTTTCTGCACCTAGTTGTGAGGACAAAAAATTAGGAGCTTTCTCACTTCCTCACATCCACATTCAGGAAATCCTTTGACTTTCCCTTCAAACTCTATTCCACATCCTGTAGTGCCTCACCTCCTCGACCACTGCCTTCCTAGTCTAAACCACCACTCTTTGTCGCTTTCAGGAAGCTTACAAGTCAGCTGTTAACATTGGTAGCTTGAAATCTGCTATGGTGGGAATATTCACACCATGGGAATTGGCAGGTTCTACAAAGTGTGCCTCTCTCCTCCTCTCCAACCCCCAGCCACCCACCCAGGGCCAGTTGTTAAACAGTTGTTGTTGTTGTTGTTATGTGCCGTCAAGTCGGACCCGACTCATAGCGACCCCTCCTTGGGTTTCCGAGGCGGTATCACTACGGAAATAGATTGCCCCATCTTCCTTCTGAGGAGTGGCTGGTGGGTTTGAACCGCCAGCCTTCTGGTTAGCAGTCAAGTGCCTTAGGCACTATGCTAGCAGAGCTCCTTGTTAAACAGTAGCCAGTGCTTCACTCCCTGAATCGCTTCCTTTTCGGCCTGTATTCCCTTCTTTCTTTCAGCTGCCACCTCATTTACCACTTCCTCAGAGAGGCCTAATCTTAAGGCCCTATCTAAAACTGTCCCATCGGTTCCACACTCTTCTTAAGAAACCAAACCTACTGCCATTGAATCAATTCTGACTCATAGTCAGTCCCATTGGGTTTCCAAGGCTATAAATATTTTTGGAAGTAGATTGCCCCATCTTCACTCAACCAGAAGGTTGAACATCCAACTTTTCGGTTAGCGGTCAAATGCCTTAGGCACTGCACCACCAGAGCTCCTCATACTCTTCCTAAAAAACATGCCACAGCTGTTGAGTTGGTTTCAACTCATAGCGACCCTCATTGGGTTTCCAGGGCAGTAAATCTTTACAGAAGTAGAATGCCCTGTCTTCCCACTGCAGATAACTAATGGGTTTGAACCTCCAGCCTTCTGGTTAGCAGTCAAATGCCTTCGGCACTATGCTACATTCTTCCTGGCACCTCTCATATTATTTTTCATTGTCTGTTCCTCCTTTCTAGCATCTCATGTTAGAATAGCACCTGGCACAGCACAGCACGTGACTCAAGAAAGGGACTTAATAATTAATCAAGAAATGATTCAGATCACCTGAGAAATATCGAAGTGGCAAATGTTGTGGCAAATGTTTTCTTTTACAACAGTAAAAGAAAAAAGAAGAGAAATCATTCCGATTGATTGACACAGCACATACGTATGGGGCACCTGTGCTGAACCAGGGCTTGAGTTAGAGCCGTAAGGACCCAGTCATCAATAAGATGTGTCCTAGTGCTGTCAAGTGGAAAGAGAGAGAAGCATGTGATCCTATGGAAAATACCTTCCTTATCAATGTGCTGAGGGCTTCGATGGGAAAATACTGGGCTGCAGTAACCCGGGGCTAGCTCCCACGCTCTCTCGAGGTGCTGGGCCTGTGTATGTGCTGTTGTTTCTGCCTGGAGCTCCCAGGACCTCACTTCTCAGTACCCCCTGCCTCCACGCCACAGGGTCCCAGCAGGTCTTGCTGTTCCTGGCCTTCAAGCCGTTCCTCCCACAGTCTCCTCCACTTGAAGTTCTCTTCTCTGCTTTCTCCACTGGAAAACACCATCTTACCCTTCAAAGCCTTCACTTAGGAGTCCAGGAAGTATTTACAACCCCTTGGGCTGAGACACGCCCCCAATCCGAGCGATAGCTCGGACCACACTAGGTTTCTGAGTTGTCATTACCTCTTCACACAGAGGACTCCCTCACTCCATAAAACCTCAGCCCATGTTCATCCACTCCTTGGGCAAACACTGCTCAAGACTTCCACTGAGCCACGTCCCAGGCTGTGAGCTGGAGGCCAAGCCCTAGATGGGCCTGTTTACCTTGTTGTCAGCTCCCAGGGGGCAGGGCACATGCTCTTCACTTCTGGCCCCTCGGTGCCCAGCACAGGGCCTACCCCAGAGCCAGCACTCATCCATGGTTGCTGAATTAGAAGGGGAAGTCCCCAGAATAAATTCACTAACTGAGATGTCTGGCCTATAGTTATGTAATTATGAGGAGTCAGGTCTCTCCAGCAGGGATGTCTGTCTATATGTCTGTAGTGCATCGAGGCTCCCACTCCAGGCCCTCAGCCAGAGGTGTGGGTGGAGGGACGTGAGAGGCTCCCACTCCAAGGATCCCCTTCCCCCTCATACAGCCAGCACCCACTCCCACTACCTTGTCTTTGGGGCTCTGTTTCTTGATGACTTTGGCTGCCAGCTTGAGGCCGGTGGATTTCTCTGTGCAGGTGCACACCGCTCCAAACTTGCCGCTGGACAGGAAGAGGTTGGAGTGAGGGGGCCTCAAGGGCCACGGGGAGGAATGTGCTCTGCTCCCACCTCGGACCAGACTTGAAGGGGCCCTCCTCTGTGGGATGAGGGCTACTCGGTCCAGCCAGCCCTGTCTCCCTTCTTGCAACCACACAAGCCATGTGCCCAGGAAGGGGCTTACGGAAGGATGGCCCAAGATGTGACAGCCCAGTCAGGTAGGCTTACAGTGGGCAGGGGTCTGGAGGCTTGGGCCCTGGGGGCAGATGCCTTGGGGCAGGAGGTAGGCTGGTATTTATAGAGGTATCAGACCATGTTAGGGCCTTTTGTACAGGAGTCAGTCACCATGAAGGGGTCATCGTGTGGGCCTGGAGCTGGCGCAGTCAGAAAACTATTGTCTGTTTTGTATGACATACACTGAATGGTTTGCCTGATGATGTGTCTGTGTGAGTGACAATGACACTGAGTTCATCACAGCACATGTGACGGCTTGCACACGACAGCATGTGGCCATGTAGAAGCAAGTGTGTCCCAGTGTGTCCTGTCCTAGTGAGTGTGTCTGGGCCAGCCCCTGGGAAGATGTGGGGAGGGCTGCATTAGCTCCCACGCATAGGGGTCCAGCACTTACCCTCCCAGCGCCTCCTTGGAGTTGATGCTGAATTCACTGTTGACATTTCCGGTCCTCAGCTGCACAATGCGGTGGGGGAAGGGGGCAGGAGGGGGCGGGCAATCGTCTGAGGAGCAGAACAGTCATCACAGTCAGGACCAGGGCGGCTGGAGGCGCAGCTCGGTACCAGCCCTCCTGCCTGGCTCTGCTCCATCCAGAGTTCTCTCCAAGTGCCCGGCTTCCAATTTCAGCTTGGGGAGCTCTCTGCCTCTCAAAGAGGGAGACTCAACTTCTCCCTTCAGAACAATGGGGAAGCTCATTGGACTTCTTGGCCCCTGCACAGGTGTCAGGTATGAGAACCTCATCCCAAGCTATCTGCATGTCCATTAAAAATTTTAAAAATAAAATTAAAAAAGGGGCAACAAAAATGGTGAGAAGCCAGACAGTAAGGTTGGTCTGAATGATAGTGAGGCGGTGGGACCTGCCTAGTCTCTTCTCAACATCACCACCACCTGGCCAGACCTGAAGAAAGGGCGTTTGTTCAACCTGGGCACGGTCCTAGAACAGGGACTGAGAGGTTTGGTAGGGAGAGGCTGCCACCTGGTGGCGATCATGGGGAATGGCGCGTCCTGGCTGCCGGAGGGCTGAGTCATCGGGAATGGAAACCTCTTTATAAATAGCAAAGGCGGCAGGGAAGCCGTGCTGGTGATAAATCAGACGGTCCTTGGAGGTTGTTCAGCTCCCATCACCCCAAGGATGTGATTTCTGGGCGGGGTGGGGCGGAGGTCTCTGCCACTGCTGGGGGAGGAGGCGGGGCTCCTGGCTGCCACCCAGCCGCCAGGTCCTCCCACCCTGTCTGGGTGGCACTGTGCCACTCACCAGGCAGGCTGGCGGGTCTCCCAGGGCACCTCAGCCAGGAGGAGGGAGGGGGTGTCAGGACATTTTGGGCTCTCCTGACCCCATCTCACCTCACCCCCAGCCCTGCCCTACCCTGCCCAGGCCCTGTCCCTGTTCACCTGCTCCACCAGCGAACTCATGCTCACTGGCCCCCTGCTGCCTGCTCAGGAAACCTTGTCTGATCATCAGTTATGGCCTCTCCACCGCCCTGCCCCATCTCACATGCTTGCCTGCTCACTGCTTCCGCACACAGACACACCTGTGCTTCTCAGCTCATGAACCCGCTATAGCTCCCATGACCTCCAGGATGAAATTTAACTACCAAAGCCTGACATGTGAGTCCCTCCACAGCCTGACTCCAGATACTGCTGTCTGGGAAGTCCATGTTCCCCAGTGGTCAGGCTCCCCAAGTAACCACCCTGGTATTTTTACCCTGTTGCAGCCAACGGGAGAAGAAAGTCAAAAGCAGGCTCTGGAGCCAGGCTGTCCTGGGTTCAAATCTTGTCTCTGTCACATGCTAGTCATGGATTTTGGGGTGTTTCATTTCCCTTTCTCTGAACTACCATTTCCCCATCTATCAAAAGGGAATAGGAGCTCTGACTTCCTGGGGTTGTATGACACTTAAGTGCATTGGCCTGGGTGAGGCACAGCTCAGGGCAGTTCAGCCCTCCTTGGGAGGGATACCCCTGTCCCTCCCCCAGCCCCAGGGCAGCCCCAGCTCCCACCCGCCCATGGCCTACCCAAAATCTGGAAGCAGTCCTCCTCCCTGGCTGTGGATCGCTCTGAGGCAACAGCCTGCAACTTGATCCCACTTGAGGTGTCCCCTTGCACCTTAGCCTGGTCAGCCTCGCCTGGGGCTTTCTCTCCTGCTTCCTTCTGACTCTCTTCCAGGGATGTCTTCTCTCCCTCTGCCACTGTGGCTGGCCCTGGGTCTGCAGGGCCGGGCGTCACAGGCACCCCTTCAAAGACGAGGTCCAGTGCTTCACTTGGGGGCTTCTCAGTCAGCAGCTTCTCGGAGCTTGCAGGAGAGAACACAGGTGAGACCTTGGGCAGGTCTCGGTGCGCCTCCGCTGCAACCTGGAGCCAATCCAGCCCTGGCCCCCACCCCTCAAATTCACTTTGTACAGAGTCCAGGGGCGTGAATAATCCCAAAGAATGGTGTGGTCATTATCTTGACTATCAACATGCTAACAGATCGATTAGATCGATTCATAACTATTAATAAGATTCTCGATATGGTTAATCATCATGTGGACACAATTAGGGAAACTACATGCCTCCTGTTTCATAAGAAGGAGCTCGGGTGGTGTAGTGGTTAAGGCATACCTGCTAACCAAAAGGTTGGTGGTTCAACCCACCAGCCACCTCGCAGAGGAAAGAAGGAGCAGTCTGCTTCTGTAAAGATTTACAGCCTTGGAAACCCAATGGGGGTCGCTATGAGTCAGAATCGACTTGATGGCAGTGAATTTTTTTGGGGGGGTTTGCATCATAAAAACTGTGGTTTTTATGTGATGTGATTGATATTAATACATGGTATCAAATAGATAAATGTTGTTGGTGTGGTTTGCAATATAGCAATAATGACCCACCAGCCACTCCTCGGAAGGAAGGTTGGGCAATCTACTTCTGTAGTGATACTGCCTCGGAAACCCAAGGAAGGGTCGCTATGAGTCAGGTCCGACCCGACGGCACATAACAACAACAACAATATGATTAAGGTAAGTATAACTATATAGTAAGATTGGTGCTATATTATGGCTATAGGGAAGGATTAGCAATGATCTACTAATGTACTTCTCAATCATCTTTTTATAGTATACCAATAGTTATATTAAGGGTCATCCTTGCCTTTTGATTCCCAGCCTTACCCTTGGCTAGACCCAAGGTCATGGAGTAAAGGGGCCTCAGGACCCCCAGATGCCTAGAGAAGAAGTGCTTGACCTAGCAATCTGTGAGGGTCTCTCCTGTCTGGTATTCAAGGCTCCTATGAATGGTGGCAAAGTCCTAGTTTCTGCAGGAAGACAAGGTGGTAAGACCACTGCCCAGGACAGGCGTTGCTGAGTATCAGGTTGGCCCCCTCAGCACAGGATGTGACAACAGTGATTTCGGGGGAACAAAGCACAAACCCTGAGTCCAGAGCTGCAAGACCCTTCCCCGCTCCCAGGTAAGGGGCACAAACCTGGAGATGACTGCGGGACAGCTGGGGCTGTGCAGGAAGGCGGGCGAGCCCCTCCGGGCCGTGGCCAGGCCTTCCGCTGCCTTCTTGGCCACCTGGGGCTCTCCAGGGACTTGGCTGCTGGAGGCCCCCTGCTCACCCACGGGCTTCTTGGCACTGGCCGCGGTGGTCGCAGTTGCCTGGGGCAGGGTCGCCTCTGGCCCAGCGCTGCCCTCCATGGGCCCCCCACCCAGGTCCCCCTGTTCCTCGGGGCCCTGGCTACTAATTGAGGCCTGGACTGGGGCACCATCCCCCGTCTCTGAGGCAGGGGCTTCAGCATCTTTCCTCGGGTTGGGCGGGTCAGGTTCTTTCTCCGGGTCTGGGGGCCCCGGATCATTCTCTGGGTCGGGGGGGCCAGGCTCTTTTTCCGCAGTCAGAGGTCTCTCATCTGCTGCACCGTTAGGTGCATCATCTGCAAAGGAGGTGAGAGATCACTCAGGATCTTGCCCCACTCCTGCCCTCCTCCCCACACCCAGCTCTGGGCCCACTCAGCCTGAGGGAGCCACTTGATGGAGCCTTAGAGACAGGCTGCCAGGATCGCATAGGTCCTCTGTGGGACCCTTGGGGATGGGCCTTGATGCCCACCTTGATCCCTTGCCTAAAGGGTGTAGGTGCTCCTCACAACCTTCCAGGGAGGCTCATAGTTTCCCAGCCTCTCTGAGGAGGAGTTTACGCAGGCCCCGGCCCCAGCCCCCCATCCACCCACCCACCCACCCAGAGCTTATTCTGACTCCTGGATCCGCTGTGCAAAGAAGCCTCCAGCACGTAACTTCCACTGAAGATCCTGCCCGAGCCCGGATTCAAACACACCTTCCCAAGCTCCTCCCTCCATCTCCTGCCCCAGCTTGGCACCTGCTGACGGGCTCTGGATTCCCAGTTCGACTTCTCTGTTTTCCGTCGCCATGGGGTAAGGAGGCGTGTGCTGCTGCGTGTCTAACTCAAGTCTTTCTAGCTGCAGAAAGAAGAGTGTGAGGTGTGGCAGGCTGTCAGATTCCTCGTCAGGCTGTGGAGAGAGAGGAGGCCAAGGCCAGGTGGCCCAGGGGAGAGGGAGAGGTACCTGAAGCAGAGAGAGGGAACCTGGGGGCCGTCTGTTGCGCAGCAGCTGCCCAGGAGCAGTCCTGGTGCGGTTGTAAGGGACTGGCTGGGTGGGCAGAGGCGGAGGCAGGGGCGCGGGCAGTGGAGGCGGGGACGGGGGAGAGGATCTCTTACACCAGGGGCCATGCAGCTCGGACTGCCACCACCTGTCACTCCTGGCCCCTATTCAGAGGACACGGCATTCTTCCCACAGCCCAACTGGGGGAGAGTGGTGTTGGAACAAGCAGGAAGAGACGAGGGAGGGGGCAGCTTGGGGGAGCAGCCCTTTTCCCAGGCCTTGCCCGGGAGCCTTGGCTTGCGCAGGATCAGGGAGGGGGCCTGGAAGAAGAGGGGCTGTCAGGCAGGCTGAAGGGCAGAACTGCCCATTTGCCATGCCTCATCTCCTGGGGTCTCTAGAACCTGGGTAGAGCCATGCAGGCCCGGGGACAATCACTCTGACCCCAGTGCCCAGCTCTGAGCCCACGACCCCTGTCCCTGGCATCCGGACCTCCTTGGATCATCTTTGGGTAAGAGACTGGCTCAGAGGCGTTTGCTCAACGTGTCCATGGGCCTGAAAGCTTTTTCTTCTACAAATGTCCTCTTCTGGAATCCTGGGGAGATGGAGCTGCTCTGAGAGGCCATTGAAGATGGTCAGGGCGTCCGTGCCCCTTGCCTGAGCCCAGCCTATTCTCTCCAGGGGCCTGCCTGGAAGGAAGGGCTGGTGGAGAGCCCTTCCCGAAGCTCCCCCACCACAGTGGACTCGAGGGGCGCTCCATCCTGGAGGTTGGCTGGGGAAAGCTATGCTCCGAAGGGCCTTCCATCACCCAGGGCTGTCTGCCCAGAGCCTTTCTCGGAGGGCAGTCTTGAAAAGGAGCCAGAGCAGAGAGCATTAGAAATAGCTCTGGAGGGGGCGTCTGGGTTCATTCAGGCCCTGATCCTGGCATCCCATACAGGCCCCCAGCTCTATGGGCTCAGCTTCTCTGACAGCAAATGGGAGAAAGAAGGACTGTCCTTGGATGAGAGAAAGGAAGGGAAATGACTCAAGAATGCAGCATGTCTTAGCAAGGGATGGTATGTGGCTGTAAACGCGATGGAGGAAGCTGTTAATGAACTCATAGGAGGTGTCCTCCAACGTGGGAAAAAGGAAAGCAAGGTGCAGAGCATGCTGAATATGCTGCCATTTGGGCAGAAGTCGGGGAAACTATTTATATACTTTTTACATTTATATAAAGATACAAAGTTCCACCTGTGTATGCATGATTTCCTTGCTAGGCTATGCAAGAAACTGGGGAGCAGGAGGTGGGAGAAGACATCCCCTTTTACTTTTTGATTGACTCATACGTGAACATAGTGCTATTCAAACTGAGTAGGGGTCTGTTTTGTTTCTTAAGAGAGCAAATGTCCAGGGTTCTTGGTCCAGGTTAGCAAAGGCCAGGTTTGGAGCTCCTTCCCCAGTCTCGACAGCCTTTGCTCTGCTGACCAGTCCCTCCTCTTGGGGCCTGGCTCTCCTCATCTCTATCTCTCCCCTTCAAGGTTCACTTGACAGCCTGCCTCTTCCAGGAAGCAAAAAACACAGCTAATGCTTGCACAGCACTCACCATGCCCCAGGCTGTGTTCTCAGGACTGTTACGTACGTGGATTCACTCCTGTGATCTTCATAATAACTTGGTGTAGTATGTGCTGTAGGAGCTCTGGTAGCATAGTGCCTAAGGCACTTGACTGCTAACAAGAAGGCTGGCGGTTCAAACCCACCAGCCACTCCTTGGAAAGAAGGTTGGGCAATCTACTTCTGTAGTGATACTGCCTTGGAAACCCAAGGAAGGGTTGCTATGAGTCGGGGCCGACTCGACGGCATATAACAACAACAGTATGTGCTGCTGCAGATGGGGAAACTGAGGCACAGAGTGGCTCGGTAACTTTCCCAAAGTCATACCAGTGATCTGAACCCTTCTGAGACGCCATTGATTGAGTGCCTGCTATTCGTTTTATCCCTATCGTCTTAAAACATCATGTTGATACTAGCTCCGTGGGGAGCTTTCATCCCCATTTTCTGAATGAACATGTGAAAACTCAAAGGAGGGAGATGGCTGTCTAAAACCACTTAGCAAGGACGAGACTGGAGCCAGGGACGCCCTTCTTCAAAGCCTTTCTTCCCTGAAAGTTCCCAGCCTGGGTCTTGCCCCCCACTCCCTGGATACCCCTTCATGGATCCTGTAGCTTCTGAAGGTTGCAATGCTTCCTGTTCATGGCTACTAGTGGAGCTCTATCTGGTCTTCCCCACAGCATGTCTGGTTTAGCTTGAAATGATGGACACCCCTCTCCTGGCCTCCCTCAGTGTCCCGAGCTGATTCCACAATTGATTGCCTGGGAGCAACTGGAGGGAAGGGACAGGATACTGCTCCTGGGTGTCTCCAGCCCAGAATTTATCTGCCAATCAGTGGCTGATGAGTAAAGAACAAGTGACCAGCAAGGCTCTGGACTGGGTTGGATGACCCCTGCAGATGTGCACTTGTTAATTTCACGGTCCCCAATATCGATCACTTATTGAGTGCCCACTATGGGGCAAGTCTGACTATGCCCAGGGCTTTACTCAGCTCACTGGAACTTCACGAAAAGACTCTAGGGGCAAGTGTCGGACAACTGAAGGTGCAGAGACAAGCTCAGAGGATAGGCGACTTGTCCCCAAAGTCATATAGCCAGTGAGTGGCTTCAAACAACGCAGATTCAAACCCAGAACCACTGTGTGATGAAGTCAAAATCCCAGCTAGGACAACATCAATGACTTTATTGGATACTTTCACTGTTGATTCCCACTAACAAGTAGCATTTATTGAACTCTTACGAAAACACACCTGGCCCTGGGGCAACAACCTCACAAACACCCTCCATTTGATCCTTGTAACAGTCTGACTGTGTGGTGTGTAAGTTGGTGAAGCCTGGCGACTCCTGAACCGTGGCTAGGGAAATGCCTTCGTTGTTTCCTCTAAAACGGGCACCTTCCTCACAGGCATTTAATGCTGGGTGCAGAGTAAGTGCTGTAGGGATGTTAGCTATCTTATCCCCATTTTACAGATGTGACAGGAAAACTGAGTCAGAGAGAGGCAAAGTCACAGAGTTGGGCCTGGAAGCATCTGTTCCCAGGGCTTTGCTGGTAACCTCGGGGTGGCCAGCAGCATTTTGGGAGCCCACACGTGTAGAGGACTTGGCACAGTGCAAGCTGCACTTGTACACACAGTAACACTTTGGACAGCCCAGGTAAGGGCCTCAGCTGTCCCTGCTGACTCCTCTGCAGTCCCTCCTGCAGGGGTGGGAGGCCGGCCTGGCTCTGGGTCCTGGGCTTGCCTGCAGCTTGCTCGCTGCCTGCCCAGGGCAGAGCTCAGCCACCTGCTCCCTGGGAGTCCCCAGGCTTCTTCCTTAGCGCTCCCTTGGAAGCACAGGGGTGGGGCACAGGAACGCCTCCCCCGGCCAGCTGGGGGCTGCCAGAGCCCCTACCTCCCCTGCAGAAGGGGCTTCCCTGCCCCACACCAGCTGTGCAGCCGTCCTCTTTGCCTCTGCAGGGGCAGGGCAGGAAGTGGGGCAACGCCAGGGCCAATTAAACCCGCCAGGGGAATTAAGGTCAGCAGGAGGCAATTATGCCTGTTGGATTTAACAAGGCGCCAGAGAAGGCTTCTGCAGCCAGAGTTCACGGCTCCTTAGGCCTCTTGCCCTGCGAGGCTCTGCCTTCCAGGAGCCTGGGCTCCTGGCTTACCCATCGCTGGGAGAATTCCTTGGGAGTGGAGGGGTTAACTCCCAGGCACCACTTCCCTGGCTCCTGGGAGGAAACTGGTGTGGCTTTAAAAGGACCTGATCAGAGGAGACATTCCCCCCGCCTGGCCCTCTCTGCTGTCGGCTGTGATGGAAAATCCAAGGAGTTGAGCAACGACCTTTCTGACTGCAAAAAGAGCAGCCAAGTCCTCTCACAACTTTCTTTCCCTCGGGTTCAGAGATGGACACTCAGGGCCGCCTTCTCTCACCTCAGGCCCCTGGCCCCAGCTTTGGCAGGGACCTTTGGGCCTGTGGATAAGCCCTACATAGGCTGCTGCCCTTACCAGCCAGACCCCCAGTCCTCTCCGCCAAGGCTGGTAAGCGGGGACTGTGGGCATCCTGCATGGCCAATTGGACATAGATTTCTCTGGAAGCCCAGTTGACACACTGTCCACTCCTAGAATTGTAGGATTTTATTGCTAAGATTATTTACTGAGTGTCTTACTCTATGGCAAGGACTAAATTGGTCACTTAGGGGACACAGATGAAATTGAGGAGAGCTATAGAATTACCACACATTGTATAGAGTACAATCCTTTTTTTGTTAAAAATATTTGTAGAAAAAATATCTGGAGGGATATAAATGGACAAATTAACAAATATGGGACTGAAAATGATTTATATTCTTTATTCTTCTGGATTTTCCCTTTTTTTATTTTTTGTGTTTGGCAATTGACCAACAGTTACTCTTGTCAGATTAATAAGTAATGTAAAACACATCCATACGGACAGAGGTTTCTGCAATTCCAGGCTAAAGTGGTGAGAGCTCCGTAGGACACAGAAAGCACCATGTGGTTTCCAAAGCACAGGCCTTGGGACGAACCATCTGGGATGACTTTTTGACGGCTCAGCACTGCAGGGAGTTCACAGTCCAGTTACCATGAGGCTTCTCGATGCCTGAGTCTTGAGCTTGTTTAAAATGAAGCCTTCCTGGGAGCTTGCTCTGGTGGTCTAGTGCCTAAGGCATCTATTAACCAGAAGGCTGGTGATTCAAATCCACCAGCCACTCCTCAGAAGAAAGGCTGG